CCCAAGACCCTCTAACAAAACTCTTGCCCCTGAACTTAGGATCTTGGGGCTTTTTTTGACTGCAATTGGCCTCTGACATCAACCCGACCTATTCCTCTCTTCCCTAGGCCAAGTACCTGATTATCATTTGACTTCAGTCTTTTGAAAATCTCAGTCATAACTGTTGTTTGACAAATATGTCTTTGTCATCTGGGTGCCTTTCCCTATGTGTCTTCCCGCAGTCAGAGTTTACAGCTTGTTCAGTTGCCAATGTGTCCTGTCCTAACATTTGAGGGTTTTTGTTTTATATTTTTGCAAGTTCCAGGCTCTTTCTATGCTGCACCATGCAATAATGAGAAATGACTGTGTCTTGCCTGTATTATCAAAAAATATATACTTTCAGTCAAATAATTCGCTATAACCTAGTCCACATAATTGTAATATTAGAGACTTTGTATATTCTTTATTCTCATAATTTTAATGTATGATATACCTTACTTTATTCTCATAATTTATTCTCATAATTTTAATGTAAGATATACCTTACTTTGCCTTTTATTGTTTTATTTCTATGGACATAAATCCTGCCAGAAAAAAAGAAAGTGAACTTTTAAACAGTGTCTTCTTTGTATAGGTTTTCAAAGGTGAACATATGCTCTGCAATAATACATTTAAAGAGGCATTTAATAAAAAAAAAATTGTAGAAGCCTTATCCTCCTAGTTTAAGTTCTAGAGAATATGCTGTTTATTGGCTTGCTAACAACTCATTCAAACTAATTTGCACACTTAGTAAATCAGTATGCAAGAACTTAAAATCAACTCTCTACAAAACATTTTATTTTTAATATAAGACAGAGAAAGTTCCTGGTATTCAGACTTGAAACTGCAAAGCACAAAGTTAATTTGCTACTAGCAATCCCTGGCTTCCTTCCCCCACAGAGGTGTTAATTAGAAAGGAAAATCTTATTTTAATTCTTTTCTTTTGGAAATTTTATCATCTTAAAAAATTATATGAAAATAAAAACTTCTCACTTAGAATACTGTCAAGCTACAACTCCATGATAAGCTCTCTCTTAATTTTCCATTAAATGATCCATGAAGACATAAAGAAATTCAAAAATTCAATGGCAATGGAAAGAAAAGATAAGTTACCTATTTACATAAATCCTATGAGAAATTCCCAATGATTACTAAGCTGTTGTGGCCCGATTGGAAAACACATTGAATAACTTCTGCAGACTCATGCTCAATTAAAACATAATGCTGCTATAGAAAGCAAACCATCTAGTTCTAAGATCTGCCTTTTCCTCAGAAATTTATTATCTGCACCTACCAGAAAACTAGGAAGCTGCCTCCTTATTGTATCCCTCCTGGCACATAGTAGAGGTTTTAAAATATTTTCCTAATGAATGAATATATGTGAAATAATTTTCAAGATGGCAATTCATCAATACTTCTCTGTTTGCATCCCTCTTGCAAAGGCAACCCCCTTCCCTGGACTTAAAACGACTATAACTGGAGGAGAAAATGTGGAGGACCATCATTCTATCAGAGATGTGTGGAATCAGGTGCTGGTGGCAGAGATGGGAAGAGTCCAAGTTTTTGTGCTGAATGTTATTGGTGGGGTGAGAGTTAATCCATAGCAGGAAGACAGTGCAATTTTCTAAAATTTAAATTGTCACCTAGATTATTTGAAAACTGCCAGTAAATGTAAGAAAACATCCTGCCTACATCTAATAACTGGATAATTTTTTGATGTAGGAAATTGGCTCAAGGGTATGCATTGAGCTACCTCCACATTTAGATCTGAGAGATCATTGCAAAGTTAAAGGGGAATGGGACTCTTTACAGTGACCACTTAGGAAAGGTAACTCTCTACTATTTATTGGAGCAAACAAGAAAAGAAAAGGCATAAGCAATTGTATTAATGCTAGAAAATAAAAGAGTGACATCTAAATGTGGTATAGTGTAATAACATAATGGCAAAGACAAGAAATTGTGAACAACAAGAGAAAAAGACATTTTCACAGGAACAAAAAATTATACTTAAGGCAGAATTACCGGCAATAACAATGGAAACCAGAAGACAATGGAATTATAGTGCTGAAGCAAATTAACTGACACTGTAGATTTTTAAATCCCAGTAAACTGTCACTCAAGAATAAAGTTGATATAAAAATATTTTCAATCCAACAGTGAAATTGAGATAATTTAAAACTCACAGATATTTGCTATAAAAACAACTGGAGGATTGACTTATTGGTGAATGAAAGTGAATTCAGAAGAAATAATTGGGATCCAAGAACAGTGGTTAATAAAATAATCCGTAAATGTGGGTAAATTTCAATTAGCATTGGCTATGGAAATAATAATAAATAAATCAAGCATTATCAAAACAGAAAACTCAACCACTAGACAGTAATTTTAATTTTATAAGGAATAGGTTATAGGCAATGTAAAATTCTTATATTTGGAGAGAACAGTTTTGAGCTATTTTAAGACATCCTATATAATAAAACCCTAATATGCAAATAGGCTGAACGGCGGAATGACCAGTAGCTATGATGAGCACTGACCACCAGGGGGCAGACACTCAACACAGGAGCTTCTCCCTGGTGGTCAGTGCGCTCCCACAGGGGGAGTGCTGCTCAGCCAGAAGTTGGGCTCACGGCTGGCACAGTAGCGGTGGCAGGAGCCTCTCCCACCTCCGAAGCAGCGCTAAGGAACAGCAAGCCTGGCTTCTGGCTGAGTGGTGCTACTACAGGGGGAGCGCCACTCAGCCAGAAGTCCTGAGCCAGGCTCACGACTGGTGAGCGCAGCAGCAGTGGCAGGAGCCTCTCCCACCTCCATGGCAGCGCTAAGGACTCTTTGGGGGATGTCTGCCTGCCAGACATCCCTCGAGGGGTTCCGGACTGCGAGTGGGCACAGGCTGGGCTGAGGGATCCCCCCCCCCCAGTGCACGAATGTTGTGCACTAGGCCTCTAGTTTTAATATAAAGTATGAATGCTGAAAATTTTGGAAAACCAAAAAAAATAGAGAATTAATGTATAATTTCTAAACCAGTAAAATGCATAAAAGGAAATAAAGAAAACTTGATAAGTTCAATAGAATACAAAAACAGAGAACTAAAGAAGAGATATAGTAAAGAGAAACAAAATGAAATATTAAACACAAATATATAATTAATCAGGATATATATACACCAGCTAAACTAGGAAAGTTGATATTTTCACAATGGAAAGTCAAATGCAGCTTTATGCTTTTTACAAAATTACCTGGTAAAATATCCAAAAACCTATACTAAGTATTTTTTTAAAAATAGCAGACATAAATATATTAATATTTGAATAAGTGAATTTCAAGGCAAATAAAAGTATTAATGCAAAAAGAATAATCCAATGTACAGAATAATTTCAAACTTTTTTTCACCTAACCACATAATCTCTAAATGTATAAAGCAAAAATTGGCACATATGGAAGAAAAATGAACATATCCACAATTAGAGTGGGAGAATTTATTATACATCTCTCAATAATTGAGAGGCCCAGCAGACAGAACATTATTAGTAAGACCTTACTAGATCTGACCAACACAATCAGATTATGTATTCCTGTACCTTTTAAGTCTAACTAGGCTGTGCTGGAAAAAATAATGGCAATTCCTGCCCTTACTTCAGTATTTTGATACCTTTCTGTGGCCTTTTTCCTGTGCTTCAGGTCACCTGCGAGGATGTACAGGTATTGCCTTTCAACAAAATTTGACAGGGAACTGAAGAGCCATCTTTTCTGCTTGCAGATACTTAGAAACTTCATGGGGGAGAGAAGTCCAGTGCTCTTGGCCCTTTGGAGTTGGTCAGGGGACAAGGTCACATGCCATTCTCTTAGAATCTCCCAAATGCTCCTTTTCTAATTTCTATGTCCATCCTTTATTTTTATCCTCCTTCCTTCTTTTCTTGTTTATCCCTTTCCCAATATTTTCTTCTCTTTTCACCCTTAAATATTATATTATTATAGAATAGATCTTCCTGGTGATAGAAAGCAAAACAGTTCAGCCTCTATTGAAGTGATAAATGCCATTTCAACCAATATTTCAAAAATTGAACCTGTTCATAATTAGTATGAGTCTTTATCATTTTAAATTATTGTCATTTTATTGACTATTATAATAACATTGATAATATAAGCAGCTAAAACCTTTTCAGAAAATGGTTTTCTTGAGTAGATGATATACTACACTTCTAATGAAAATATTTTATAAAACAAATCAAACGGAGAACCAAGATGGCAGCATAAGTAAACTCTGGTACTCGCTGCCTCCCACAACCACATCAAAATTACAACTAAAATACAGAACAACCATCATTCAGAACTTCCTGAAATCTGGCTGAATGGAAGTCCTACAACTAGAGAAGTAAAGAAGAAAGCACATTGAGACTGGTGGGAAGGGTGGAGGCATAGAATGTGCTGATCAACACCCAAGTGTGGTGTTCTTTTAATCTGAAGGGATATCTCAGCTGTGGAGGACTCCCGTGAAGAACAAGGGGTTCCAGCCCCACACCAGACCCCTCAGCATAGGGTTCCAGAGCTAGGAAGAGAAGTCCCCATAACTTGCAACTGTAAAAACCAGCGGGGATTGTGGCTGAGTGACATGTACTTACGGAGGCTTACTCCATCTCTTTGGGCTCCAGTGCTGGGGCTGAGGCTTGAAAGGAACCTGGGACATTTGGAGAGGAACTGGATTGTCTCAAGAGGAACTCGGGAGTGGCTTTCTCCCAGAATGGGGTACTCGTGGAGGTCCTTGTTCCTGTGCTGGGACCTCCCCCATTGTAGATCAACTGGCAGCCATATCTGAGTTTCCATCAGCTTGGCTCACACTGTTCCCTCTGCCATGGTGATTCCCTGAGACCCTGCCCCATGCAATTTGCAGCCCCACCCAAGCTGTTTGCAGCAGCTTTTCCATATGAACAGCCTGTCCTGATTCAGGCTTCAGACTTTCCTAAAATCTCTTATAAAATCAGCAGCTCAAGTCAGTGTACCCAATAGCTCTCACTAAGAGGCCCAAGACTGGGCACTAATACCAGCCTGCCTTGCTTCACAGCTGGGCCTCACCTGGATATTTTCAAGCCCAATACAAGTAGCAGCTATCTATAGATCTCTCTGTAGTTTCTGCTGGGTGGCCCCAGGCAGTCACTGACTTTGCACCTCCTAGGAGGTCCCAAAGCCAGTGCACCCAGTGGAAAGCTTCAGACCATACCAAATTACAACTGTACGCATCCACAAGCAGCACACTAAAGGGGAAGACTCAGTGAGCAACAAAGCCCCCCTGAAGCAAGTCCTGCTCCATAGGGGTGTCTCCTGCACAGCAGCTCTTCCACTGTAGTTGCAGCTGATCCTCACAACCAATTGGCCTAGAGGTCAATTTCTCCCAGTGACACCAACAGCAATCAAGACTCAACTACAAGACTGTGCTCACAGCCCACACAGGGGTGCACCTGGAGTACCCAGCTCATGTGGCTGGGGAGGCTGAGCCACTGGGCTCTAAAGGACACCTATTATACAAGACTACTTTACCAATTCCAGGAGACATAGCAGTTCTAACTAATACTTAGAAACAAATACAGGGAAGCAGCAAAAATGGGGAGACAAAGAAACATGTCACAAATGAAGGAAATGGAAGCAAGCAAACTATTGGATACAGAGTTCAAAACAATGGTTATAAGGTTGCTCAAGGATCTTCATGGGAGCTTCAAGGGACTCAGTGAGACCCTCAAGGATCTTAGTGAGAATTTCAAAGACATGAATAAGAACCAGTCAGAAATTAAGCATATATTAACTGAAATAAAGAAGTATTTACAGGAATTCAGCAGTAGAGTACAGGATTCCCAGAATCAAACCAACAATTTGTAATATAAAGAGGTAAAAAACTCTCAATAAGAAGAGAAAAAAGAAAAAAGAATCCAAAAATATGAAGATAGTGTAAGGCGCTTCTGGGACAACTTTAAGCATACCAACATTTGCATTATGGGGGTGGCAGAAGGGGAAGAGAGAGAGCAAGGTATTGAAAGCTATTTGAGGAAATAATGCCAGAATACTTCCCCTACCTGGTGAAAGAAATAGACTTACAAGTCCAGGAAGTGCAAAGAGTCCCAGACAAGAGGAATCCAAAGAGGCCCACACCAAGACACATCCAAGGAGTTCAAACACCAAACCAGTATTACATGAAATGTTGAAGGGTATTCTTTAAGAAGAGGAAGAAAGAGAAGGAAAAAAAAAAAGAAGATCACATATATGAACAATAAAATGTCAATAAATATCAACAATTGAATCTAAAAATCAAAATAAACGAATAAGAAACTTAATGAACAAAAATAAACTGATGAATAAAATGGAATCAGAGGCATGGAAACATGGAATAGACTGACGAATCTCAGAGGGAAGGTGGGGGGTGGTGCGAAGAGATTAACCAAGGAACTTATATGCATATATTTATTACCTATGGACACAGAAAATAGGGTGGTGAAGGTCTGGGGCTGAGCAGGAACCCAGTGGAGGAGGTCAATGGGGAAAGATGGGGGGTATCTGTAATACTCTCAACAATAAAGATTTTTTTAAAAAATAAAGAAATAAAACACTCTAATATTTCTAATTGATGACTGCTTTTCTTTTTTTTAAATGTGAAATCTATGGCACACTTCATGTGTTTGATATTACATGAAGAAACTCAGTAATGAGCAATTATTAGTACACAATGAATCTATCACTCTCTTTACCAGAGTATTTATGAGGCAGATGTGCTGATAAGAACATAATAAAGTTTCTAAAATGGATAAAATTCCAATTAACAAGTGTTTGTCTTCTTATTTATAGAATAAGAAAAAAAAGTCTAGATTAAAACTTTCCCGTAGTAGATGAAAGTGGGATTAGCAAATACACTAAAATATTATCTGAAAATATACTCATACATGATTTTAGAACAAATAAATATCTATTGTAAATTAATTTATATAAATGAATTCATATAAATATAGCTGTTTGCCTATAATATACTTAGATAATTAACTATGGAAGATAATGATAAATTCACTACAGTATTTAGCCTCCTTCACATTTCTGATGCATAGAGAAACCTAAGAGATAGATTCATCAAATTATATTCTATAGATCCATAACATTCTTTTAAAGTACTTTGGTTTAGTTATATGGAGGTGTGGACATGAATTGGAGTTCTAGCTTTTTATCCTTTATGTTAATTTGTTTTGTATGTGGAGATTCTGTCTTCTTCGGTATTGTTCATAGACAGGATCTCAAAACCAAAAACTAAAATGCTTGAAAGCTACTGATCAAATCTCACTCTTTGATTTTAACAGATTGAGAAATTGAGTTGTAAAAAAAGTCTAAGTTCATTGCCCAAGGTGACACAGTGCAGGAGAGAAACTAAAGCTGGAAAATAGAATTTTAAAATATATTTTGATTTCAGAGAGAAAGGGAGAGGGAGAGAGAGAAACATCAATAATGAGAGAATCATCCATTGGCTGCCTCCTGCACGCCCCACACTGGGGATCAAGCTTGCAACCCCTGCATGCGCTTTTAGAATTGAACCATGACCTTCCCATTCATAGATCAATGCTTACCCACTGAGCATGCCAGCCAGTCTAGAAAATAGGATTTTAAACTCTCAGTTGATTGCATCTTTCACCTCACTAGTTTTATACATGTATCATCCATTGTAGTTAAGGCAAGTTAGATTGTGTCAGTAAAAGCCCAACTGGATCCTGTCTGCCTATATGCATGTTTTATGTAAATGTTTCCTCCCTTGTTGATCCTGGTTTTGGCCATGTGTCTTGCTTTGGCCAATGGATTATTAAGGACTGTGGTGTACAAACTTCAGCATATTTGAAAACAAGTTTGCTTTTTTTAACATTTGAGGTGTTAAATGTGAGTCAATGAAATTTATAGCCAATTAATGTCATAATACTTGTCTAGTCCATTAGTTGATAGCTTGATTTGTTTTCTTGGTTTGCGAGAAATTCTTTGCAGAATTAGGATTCTAAATATATTTCTATCATTTCTTTTTCATCTATTAATACATTGGCATAAGCAGTGAAATTTGTATTATGTTCTTATACTGCATCTTACTTTAAGATTGAGAGAATTTTTTATAACTGCTTTGTCATTTCATGGAAAATAAAAAATATGCTGATATGAGAAAAGGTAATATTGCTTGGAAGGAAAGGAACAGCATAGATAGCCTACCCACCATAAGAAATGATATTACTTATTAACTTAAGGTAAATTTTATAACAAGGTGTTATGAGGAGTATTAATTGGACTGTCCTAGGTTATTAACTATGAAAAAATTATTTCTATCTGCTAGTCAAGTTGCAAATTATTTTGCTTGTTATGGGACAGATCACCCATAAGTCATGGAAATCTGGGAAACAATAATAACAATACTTACCAAATATTCCATATTTCTGTCTCATTTCTCAGTTCCCATTCAATTAGATAAAGCAGTGCAACTGGTTCTGGCCAACTAAATGTAATATGTGGCAATTTGGGGCTGAGTACTGAAAAGTCCTCAGCAAACTTCTAGCCACTCTTCCCCTGATCTGTCAGGGAAGGAGAAGAGGTATTTCTGATGGTACTGCTGCAACATAGTGCTATCTTTTACAACATGAGTCCCTGAGTGACTTTATGGATTAGACCTTCCTTTGACCTATCAATGACCTATCTGTCATTGATAAATAAACTTGCTTGTTATGCCCTGAAGATTTAGGGGTAGTGTGTTACCTAGGCATCACCTAGTGTCTTCTAGATTACCCCAAAAAGAATCTTGGGATTTATGCCATTTAAAATGATTAATTTATTTTTCAATTATTTTGATAGTTCCAGAAGGATCTTTTTCAGTTCCTTTAAAATTTGCTCCTCTCTGTCCTGGACGCTACCCTTGCAACATTTTGTTAACATCAAGGTATGATGTTCGCGTCTACTACATTGAAGGCGTGGTGAGTGATGAATGTCCAGAGACCAGATTTGATTTCGTAACACCAGCATTTGAAGCCCTTACCCAGAATATTCCAATAGTAAGCATGAACTCTTTTTTTTTTTTTTTTGGTATTTTTCTTCATTTCCACTGTTACCATCTCAATTAAAGTTCTCTAAACCTCTTATCTTGAGCTATTACAGATTTCTTTTAAACCTTTTTATTTATTGAATGTTTTTTAGAGAGAGAGGGATGGAGACAAAGAGAGAGGGAGAGAGAGACAGACAGACAAACAGACATCGGACATCGATTTGTTGTTCCACTTATTCTGACCAGGGATTAAACCTGCAACCTTTGCCTATTTCCAATTGTATTATCTGTTGCTGTGTGTTTCTCTACATTGATGTCAGAGTTTTATTCCTGACTATAAAAATCATCATGTTACTCACCTGATTAATCACTTATGCCAGCGGTTCTCAACCTGTGGGTCGCGACCCCTTTGGCGGTTGAACGACCCTTTCACAGGGGTCGCCTAAGACCATCCTGCATATTAGATATTTACATTACGATTCATAACAGTAGCAACATTACAGTTATGAAGTAGCAACGAAAATAATTTTATGGTTGGGTCACAACATGAGGAACTGTATTTAAAGGGCCAGAAGGTTGAGAACCACTGATCTTATGCTGTATCTCGTTGCTTAAAAAAAAAATTAACTTTAACTTCTTTAACCTATCACCAAATTCCTACTCAAAAGCCATGCCTCCTGGCTCCACCAAGCAGAGTAATGGTCCCTGGCTTACTCTGCTCCAGATTCAGTTGTGATCTTGACATTTATTAAGATGGGTTCATAGGCACTAAGAATAATGATTGGCTGTAGCTTGGCTATCTATTACTCAAAGTGTCTATGCAGCATAGAAGAAAGTAACATAATTGTAAGGAATTTTGAATTTTGACTAATAAATTGTTTTGTATTTGTTTAATTAATAAAGACATAACAGAAGTCTGATCAAAGCACGGAAATTTTCTATGATGAGATATGTGACCTTTGCTATCTAAGCAATCTACCAGTTAGAACATTTTTTAATGACCCAGTTGTTATTAGGAGTAAAATGTATAACCACAAGACCATTCTATCATTTAAACAATTAGTAAGTCAAACAAAGGAATATTCCTTTAGCTATTAAATAACCCATGGATCAACCTGTTAGGCTCCTGTATGACATTGAAAGGACATATTTAAGAATAACTATGAAAAGACTTCTTGTGCCTTATATTCACAATTTTTCATAGTTGTTCTTAACAAATATGACTTTCAAATGGCGATTTTTAAGAAAACAATATATAATTTTACGGAAAGCACCAAGAATTAATATGTCATTCAACTTTATAAATATCATCTTTCTTATATTTATCTACCTTTTTCATGCTTTAGGTTAATAGGACAATGAATGACTGGAGATGTCACATGCATATAGAAGGAGAATGTTTTTATGGACCTCGTGATTTCTCTGTCAAACAAGGTGAAACAGCACAATATCCTCTCACATTCAAACCTCTTTTGGAATGTGAGGTTATGGTATGTATTCATTGATAATTTTTACCTAGTATTAATGTGTCAAAACAATGTATGATATTAACCTATATAATTTACAGTAAATCTTTTTGCAGAAAAGTTATATTTTCATGAATTTGATCATTAGAGTTCACTCTGCCTGAATAATTATTTTAACTTGAGGGATAAACATTCTGAAAAGTGCAATGTCATTGCCTGCCAATTCTTATGCCTATATTACTTTTACATAACACACTAAACAAAGTAAAATCATTGCTTCTACCGTTTTTATTCATTAAGCAAGTTGGTATTTCAGAAATTATTTTCTGAAGACATATTTCTTTGACAAGGATATAAACATGCACATATTTGCTATCTAAGAGAATACCTGCATAAACTCTGTATTTAGAGAAAGTAAAGAGAAATAATGAGGTTTTCACAGGTATTTCATCTTGCTCATTCAGTAGAGGTATTTGTACATAAACTGCAAGACTCAATGACTGACCTCCTTGAATGTTCATTTGATTTATCAGACTCAAGAGTAATAGGATAGTAGAGGCTGTTTGGAATCCAAATGTGACTCCTGTAGAGCTGAAATTTGCTTGATTTGTCACAGGGTAAACTTACTGTACAAAATAAAGCCGATGGTATGGAGCATGTCTTTGCCATGAAAGGGATTGGTAGAAGACCTGTGGCCTTGGACTCTATCACTGCCCACTGTCAGGTGGGGATCCCAGAAGATAGAACCATAATGGTGCCCAATCATACAAAGAGCAGAATAACATTTAAGGTAAGACTTTTTTTTAGTATAAGAGTATTTTCAGAATGAATATATAGAATTCTAGGAAATTTTAAAAATATTTAATTTTATTTAACTAGATGAAGCAATGACACACAAAGAATGCTTAAAATTCTACTTTATATTAGTCTAACAGCTATTAAATGTTATTGAAATTATAAAGCTGAATTAGGACCAAACAAATTTTATTTCTAAGTGTTAGTATATAATCAAAAGACATATTAAAATCTACTTATTTGCTTCATGTGTATTTTCACTTGAAGAAATTGCACATGTTAAGAAAAGGTATTTTCAAAAGCATTTTTAAATACCTTTTGAAATTTTAATGTGAAAACTATCAGCACAACATTTCAAAAGTGTATTCTAGCCAGGCCAGCAACGCTCAGTGTGTGAGCGTCGACCTATGAACCAGGAGGTCTATGTTTCAATTCCCGTCCAGGGCATATGCCCAGGTTGCAGGTGCGGGAGGAAGCCAGTCAATGATTTTCTCTCACCATTGATGTTTCTATTTCTCTCTCTCCCTCACCTTTCCTCTCTGAAATCAATAAAAAATATATTTACAAAAGTGTATTCTATCCTTTACTAGTGTGAGTAATAGTAGGAATGTGAAGAAATGTATAATCTTTATTTTTATGAAGTTTTGCACTTAGCCCCTTTTGCTTGATTTATTTCAACTAATCCAAAAATACAACTTTCTACTTGTATATTTATCTACAAATTGTTGTGTGCCCAATAGAATCTTTACAAGAAGCTTCAAATAGCTATCACAGGTGCCTGAATTCAGTTTTAGAGTGCACTGCCAAAGTTTAGAAATTCTCTGAGTTCATCTTCTGCTTTTTTATGATCTTGAAAAATATGTACTTTGGTTTTCTTCTCCCTTCCTTGCTGGATTGAAAATGGAGGGAATATTATGAACGAAAATCTCATTTTGTCACTCCCCTGCTAAAACTCTTCTTACCAGGATGGAGCACATACTTCTCAAAGTGGCATTTACCATCCTTCAAACGCTTACCTGCTCAGGTTCATCTCTTGCCAATTTTGGCTGCAGCTATACTTAGGCCTTTGTATACAATATTTCCTTTTGCTGCCAGCTAGAAATCTCACTCCAACTTCCTATCTTCCATTTCTCAGTGTTGGTGTAACTCCTTTTCATTGTCTGGAGCAAGTCCTAGATGCCACTTTTTCCAAAAATCCTTACCTATTCCCATAAACCTGAGTAGATCCATTTCGTGTGCTTCCACAACATTTTTATACCTGTTCCACCATCAAACATACATCATATTACTCTTACCTGTTTGTTGTTCTCCACCATATTATAAATTGTGAGAAACGGGTATGCCTCTCTTATCCATATTTTAAAGCTAGCATAAATCATAGTATCAAGCACATAATAGTTTTTAAGGAAAGGGAACCTCAGAGCCCCAGCAGGGAGGGTGTAGTCAGGACAAGCCCTGCCACCACCACTTCTAATTTGGATCCTCCAAATTAGCCACTGACCACAACCTTGCAACTGCTCCTCTCACTCTGGAGTCTCCAACTAAGCTTAAATCAGAGCATAGGGCCCCTTTTATCCTCCCCTGCTCAGAGGGACCTGTGGTCATCACACATCCCTTTGTTTCTGCCCCCTTTGAGGCAGCGCCTCTGCACAGCCAACTGGGACCTGGAGAGTATTATGCTAAGCGAAATAAGCCAGTCAGAACAAAATAAACTAATGAACAAAAAGATCCAGAGACATAGAAGCATGGAACAGACTATCTAATCTCAGAGGGAAGGTGGGGATGTGTGGGGGTGTGGGAAGAAATCAACCAAAGAACTTGTATGCATATATGAATCATCCATGGACACAGACAGTGGGTTGGTGGAGACCTGGGGTGGGGCTGTGTGGTAGGGACAGGCTCTAAGGCAGTGGTTCTCAACCTTCCTAATGCTGTGACCCTTTAATACAGTTCCTCATGTTGTGGTGACCCCCAATTTCATGGTTACAAATTGAACATAATTAAAGCATAGTGATTAATCACAAAAACAATATGTAATTATATATGTGTTTTCTGATGGTCTTAGGCGACCCCTGTGAAAGGGTCTTTCGACCCCAAAAGGGGTCGCGACCCACAGGTTGAGAACCGCTGCTCTAAGGGGTCAAAGGGAGATAAAAGGGGATATACGTAATACTTTCAACAATAAAGATTTAAAATAAATTAAGAAAGAAGAAAGAGAGAGAGAGAGAGAGAGAGAGAGAAGGAAGGAAGGAAGGAAGGAAGAAGGAAGGAAGGAAGGAAGGAAGGAAGGAAGGAGAAAGAAAGAAAAGGAAGAAAGAGGAAGGAACAAAGAAGGGAAGGAGCTTGGCTAGTGTGGCTCAGAGGTTGAGCATCAACCCACGAACCAAGAGGTCACTGGTTTGATTCCAGGTCAGGGCACATGCCTGGGTTGCAGCCGTGATTTCAAGTAGGGGGCATGCAGGAGGCAGCCAATCCATGATTCTCTCTCATCATTGATGTTTCTATCGCTTTCCCCATCCTCCTTCATCTCTCTGAAATCAATAAAAAACAAAAAACAAAACAAAACCCCCAAAAAACTTTAAAAAATCCAGTGGAGGAAAGAAAGAAGGAAATATTATGATCACTTAGATTTACTAAAAATAAGGAAAAAATATTTTTCCAACACTCTTTTTCCTTGTCCAGAATTTACTGGTGAGCAAGGAATCCTGTTTTAAGAATTTGCAGAAAACAAGTTAGAGAAAAACCTGAAATTTCATAGCATTGCTTATTTCATTTTGTTGTTATGGAGGAGTTAATGTCTATAGGTTTTTAATATTTTATTCTTCAGAATGAATGCATATTTTAAAATGTAGGCTTTTAAAACTAATAATTATGTTATATTAACTACATCTAATTAAATGTAGAAGTGGAATTCTAGTCATAACAAATTCTCACAAATATTAATAATTAAAGTTTATATTTCTATTATTTTAATCCACAACTAAACTGAAGAACCTGGTTATTTTACTTATAGAATGTAAATTTTTAGTGAAGCTCTTTCTGTAATTAAAGATATCACCTATTAAATTAATTAAATTATATTTCATGAAAGTATTAATATTTATTATGTGTTCCAGGTCTTCCTAATATTTTTATATTCATACTCTCAGGACATTTGCCAAACTATTCAACAGTTATTGTTTGACATTGCAGTTGCCTAAGGTTTCAATAACAGTTGTGGCCAACAACTTGAAAGGAAGATCTGGGGAATCAGACATCCTTAGGGGATTTTAAAAGCTTCACATATTCCTGGGGAACATGCAGGCCACATCCATGTGCAGAATTGTGCAGTTGCCCAGGAAAGATCTGAGAGGATCCCATTTTTCCCATTTCTGGCTGACACAGAGGCACTGTGTAAGCTGGAAATTAAGGTTAATGCCGTTTTAAATAACTATCCGAGTGCTCAAAGTGTGCTTCGACACATATACAGTGCTCCTTGACAAAGGGCAGATGATGTATTGTTTCAAGGCATTTAAAGAAACCTGTGACAAATTATTGCTGACCACGAAGCTAATTAAGCAGGGACTTCAGTGGGTACACACTACTGTGAATGCTGAATCACAGTATTAGTTCCAAAAAGTCACTAAATCAACAAAAAACAAAACATAGGGGAGCAATGATCTGATTTAGAAAATGGCTGTAGTACCTTATATAAAACGCACATTTTTTCAACAAAAACAATAAAATTTATGAGGCAAAGAAAAAGGAAACAAAGAAATGGGGAAGTATAACCCACCCACACACACAGGAAAATAAGCAGTCACTGGAAGCTATCCCTGAAGGGGCCCACATGTTGGCTAAGTAGACAAATACCAGTACTTTAAACAAACCTTTGTAAATTGTTCAGTGAACTAAAGGAATCCTGTCTGAAGAATTAATGAAAAGTTTCAATAAAAAGATAATATCAAGAAATATATAAAATTATAAAAAATAAATTCTGGATTTGAAAAGTTCAATAAAAGAAAGGAATTATCCACTAAATGGACTCAAAATACTTTCTAATTTCCCTTAGGATTTCTCCTTTGACATGTTATTTAGGACTATGTTGTCTAAAATTTCATCTATTTAAAGATTTCCAAAATTTTTCCCCATTTCTGATTTCTAATCTAGTTCCATTATTGTTAAAACACATACTGTATATGATGCAATTTGTTGAGGCTTTGTTTACTACTATGTCCTATGATATGGTCTATCCTGAAAAATATTCTGTTTGCTTGAGACATGCTAAAGGGCATCTATGAAAGTCCCACAACTAACATCGTACTTAATGAAAAAGCATTCAATGATTTTTTTCCCTATGGTCAGGAACAAGGTAAGGATTTCCAGTCTTGAACCTTTTATTGAACATTGTACTAGAAGGTCATACGTAGTGCAATTAGTTAAGAACAAGAAATAAAAGGCATCTACACAGAAAAGGAAGAAATCATACAATATCTATTTGTAGATATCATGATCTTATAAATAGAAAATTATAAGAAATTTACTAATTATGCTCTCAAAACTAATACATGAGTTTAGAAGATTTACAGGATATACTGTCAAATATAAATCAACCATTTCTATAAATTAGCAGTGAACAATCCAAAGTAAAAATTTTTAAAAGTCTTTATTGTTTAAAGTACTACATATGTCCCCCTTTTTCTCCCATGACCCCATCTAGCCCACCCTCACCACTAACCCCACCCCACCTCAGGCTTCCACCACCCTATTGTCTGTGTCCATGGGTTATGCATATATGCATACAAGTTCTTTGGTTGATCTCTTCCTACCCACCCACTCAACCCCCTGCCTTCCCTCTGAGATTCCACAGTCTGTTCCATGCTTCCATACTGTTGACAAAGTGAAATTAATAATCATTTACAATAGCATCAAAAATAATAAAATGCTTAGGAACAAGCCTTACAAAAGAAGGGCAAGACATGTACACTGAAAACTACAAAATATTATGGAATGAAATTAAAGATATTTCCAATAAATAGAAATATATATCCTATGCTCATGGATCAGAAAACTTAATATTGTTATGATGGCAATATTATCTAAATTGATTTACATATTCAACACAACATCAAAATCCCAACTGACACTTTTGCAGAATTTGACAGGGTAATCCTAAAATTCATATAGAAATACAATGGACACAGAATAGACAAAGCAATCTTGTGAAATAAGGAAAAAATTGGATGACTCATAATTCCTGATTTTAAAACATACAAGCCCTTAACTACAAAACTATAATATTAAGGAGAATGTGGTACTGACATAAAGTAGACATATAGATAATTGGAATAGAATAGAATGTCCAGAAATAAACTCCTAAAATAATGGTTAATCGAATTTTTGACAGATACCAAGAGAATTCAATGAAACAGAATATTGTTTTTTAAAAATGGTGCTGAGACAACTGCATAGTCACACACAAAAGATGAATTTGGACCCCTAACTCATACCATGTACAAAAGTAAACTCAAAATGGATTATAGGTCAAAATTTAATAAACATAACTAAAAATCAGACGAAAACATAGCAGTAAATATTCATGACCTTCGGGTAGGCAATTATTTTTTAGATATGACACCAAAAATACAAGTGACAAAACAATAAATAAATTGGACTTCAAAGTTAGAATGTTAGAAAATGGCTATAGTACCTTATATAAAACACAATTGATACCTTGAAGAAAGTGAAAAATCCAACCAGTAAATGAAAGAAAATATTTACATGCCATCTATCTGAGAAGGGCCTTATTTCTGGAGTATGTCTAACAGCACAAAAGTAAAATGACAACACAGTTTTTAAAATGTGCAAAGAATTTGAATAGACTTTTCTCCAAAAAGGATATGCAAATGAGCAATAGGTAGGTAAAAAGATATTCCACATTATTAGTCATTAAGGAAATAAAAATTAAAATCACAATAAGATGCCACTTTACACTCATTAGGATGGCTATAATTAAAATGACAGACAATAAAAACTGACAGATGTAGAAAAATCGGAACTATCACGCATTGCTAGTGGGAAATTACAGCCATTTTTGAAAACAGTTTTGGAAGACAGTAACTTAAAAGGTTAAATATTGAATTATAATTTGCCTGAGCTATTCCATTCCAAGTTGTATGCCCATGAGAAATGAAAATCTATGTCCACTCAAAAACTTGTATGTTTTCAGAACAGCTTTGTTCAAATTAGACAAAAATGGAAACAACCCAAACATTCATCAGCTTATGAAGGGATATACAAAATGTTTCATATCAGATAATTCAATACTATTCATCCATAAAAAATGATGTATTGATATATGTCACAATGTAGATGAACCTTGGAAAGATCATGCTAAGAGAAAAAAGACAGTCACAAAAGACTACATATTATATGATTTATTTCCTATGGATTGTCCTGAATATGCAAATTTATAGAAGCATAAAATAGACTAGTGTTTGCCTGGGCAGTGAGGGTGGCGAGATGCAAATACTAAGTAAGCTGAAAGTTGGGTTTAACCAGAGTTGTGGTCAAATGTTGCTTAAATATCCTTTATATACTGTGTTAATATTGATATAGAAATTCATTGAAATGGTTCATTATTTGTACATTAAAATTACATAGAGAAAATGGAGCATTGCCTATAAAAGATACTCAGATTGTCTAAGCATCAATGATCTTGCTACAAGTAGCAACAGAAAATAAACATCGCTCTTTTTGCAAGAACCTCCTTCTGTTTTTTCATAGGTCTCATATTTTTCTTCTACTGTATATAGCAGTTTGGGGGCTTGCCTTTTATTTAAAAGGAAACATTTTTAATGGAAGTATTTAAATTACATTTCATTTTCTCCTATGCTTTAGCTTGTTTTATTGATTTCATGTAAATGTTGACATATAGTTCTTGATTTTGAACTCTGTTTTCCAGGTATCTTCAAATGTTCCCATAGTGTGGGGAAAGCAAAGCATCACCATAGAACCTGGTAGTGCAATTCCATATATTCTACACATAAGCTCTTGGAAACGTGGTGTATTCAAAGGTAACCAAACCATTAATAAAATATTATTAACTACCACATTAGCCCAAATACATGAAGACAATTAATGAAAATGTAATTTACATTTCCCCTTTCTAATAAATGACCCAGAGGGAAATTTATTTTTCCATTTCAGTCATTACCTTTCTAAATAATCAGAGCTTGAGGCACACATTTTATGTTTAATACTATACTCTCTTGGCCATTTATTTGAATTTAATGGTGTGACAAATTCCTAGAAGGAGAAATGTTTAATTAAGGGAATTTATGTTTAAAATTATGATAACTTCAAATAGTTATTCCAATTTATGAACCAGACAGCATCCTATGAGAATGTCTGTTTATAGGACTACGTATAATAAAAACATACCTGCATTTGATACACGAACAATAGGTTAAAATCTTTAGTATGTGTGAAGTTTTCATGTTGTATGTCTAATACAGCATTCATTTATACAAATTATCTTGGTGGTCTCTCAACAGACTTGTTTGGGAGTGGCTGTAAAGGTTATTCTTATAAGCTTTTTCAGGGAGGGGTATGTATGAAAAGCGTAGAAGAGTAATAAGGAAGAACAGAGAGGGTATGATTCATCAAAGGAATACGTTACCCCATTTCAAAGAGCATTAAATGCCCCATGGTGTTTGGATCCTGCAGAGGAAATTATTGTAATGCAGGTGAAGGGATACTAGTTAGTGGGTAGAGAGCATGCACCTAGTAACAATCTTGTGTGCCCTGGAGGTTGAGTACTAGCCTCTCATCCCTGCTTGTCTCAATAAAGAATGTTTATTGAGAAGGGTCTCCAGTGGTCGGCAAACTGCGGCTCGCGAGCCACACGCGGCTCTTTGGCCCCTTAACTGTGGCTCTTCCACAAAATACCGACTCCTGCGCATGGGCCAGGAAGTTTCAATCTCACTGTACATGCACGCCCGCATGTGGTATTTTGTGGAAGAGCCACACTCAAGGGGCCAAAGAGCCGCGTGTGGCTCTCGAGCCGCAGTTTGCCGACCACTGGTATACCATTGGTTCCCAATGTGCGGCACAGGTCCCACAGGGAGCATTTTTATTTTTAATATGGGCAATTTGAGAATGAGTTATTAACAATGTATTTTTTGCATTTCTTACGGTTCTAGGGGCCTCATATACAGTATATAAGTATATATTGTGACATATTTATGCATTTCAGTTTCCTATTATATATTTTGAAACTCTATTTGCTATTTTTTAATATCACTTCATATTATTATTATTTTTTAAACAATTTCTTAGTGATTTCTTCCACAGTACTTAACTGTCCTTTCATTCTTTTATTTTTCTCTTTTATGGATGCCATGTTTCTTGGAAGCTTGTTTAGACCTAGTTAATGGCCTTTTAGGCTTCCTCCATGTGAATAGGAGTTCACTTTTTGAATAATCAGAATTATATGTCACAGGGGGGCATCAGGATTTTAGAGGTGCTTTAGGTGGGGCATGGCCAAAAAAAGGTTGGGAACCACTGGTCCATACTTAGCATAGAAGGTATAGAAAGCTGCTCCAAAGAAGAAAGTACAGAGAATAGACTGGATGCCAATCCTATTAACAAGCAGAAGGGAAATTTCAGAATGGCAAACAATGATCCAATTAGTATCACAGTAATAGAATGTACTGTGAAGGAAGAGCCAACCTGCCCACCCCCACTCTCTGCTTGGCTTCAGATATCACCACAGTCATAGTCATTAGCATCTTCTGAAATCTTCGATCACTTTGCAGACATTTGGCTTTACAAAGCCCATTAATAATTCTCCATGTGATAGATAGATTTTGAGCTATAGTCAGCCCATTCTTCTCCTCTCTGCCTCCCTCCTCCCCTCTCACCCCCCCACCCCCTTTCCATCTCTCTGTTTTTTGTCTAGGCAGAGGATCTGCACTCCAAACCCCCATGTTGTTCAAGGCTCAGTTGTGTACATTTAATTGTAACAGTTAGGAGCTTAAAAAGAGTGGGAGATAAGCTGTATTATATATAGATTAAAGACAGATGTGACCACAGCACTGTATTGTTTATTATTTTTTTAATAATTTTTTAATATACATTTTTTATTAATTTCAGAGAGGAAGGGAGAGGGAAAGAGAGATAGAAACATCAATTGAGCCCACAACCCAGGCATGTGCCCTTGACTGGAATCAAACCCAGGACTCTTTAGTCCCCAGGCCAACGCTCCATCAACTGAGCCAAACTGGCTAGTGCTGTATTGTTGTGGTTTTTAAAAAAAATCTATGTTCTTTATCATCCATATAAATTTGTTTTTCCACCTTGCCTTTTGAAGGGGAAATAAAATAAAAGAAATTGAGTTAAAATAAAGGTTAAAATAAAGAAATAAAAAGGTAGAAGTAAGAGGAGGGTTAGCAAAAGATCCCTTAGGCTTTCATCTTTAATCTTGCTACTTAGATTTTATTAGGGTAGTATATTAGAAATGAAACAATGAAAATTAGTTTGATTATGTGTAATACAATGTGCATAGAGAATATACGTATAAAAAAACTTTTTGATGAAATTAATGTGCCTCCAAGAAATTCACAAGTTGACAAAAGGCCAGCCTTACAGAAATTTTCCTGAACAGTGTTCCTCATTAGCGATTTGGAGTGGTGAAGCATGAAGCCAGTGCTAAGAACAGGGTGGGTGTGAGAAGACCAAGTGCAAAGAGGTCAAAACTTTGCCAGGTTTAACTGTTGCCATGGAAACTTGCTTTTGGAGGTGATCATTGAGCAGTATCTACGACCTATCACTTTAGATCAAAATAAATGTTCTGGAAGAAGTATGGGAGTGATTTTGCGATTTTGCCAGTCAAAACCATTTATTCTGTGGTATGTTTGGTGATATTTAGACATGACTTAATGTACCATTTCCCATACTCTGTTGTCAGGGACATATGTATGCCTTTGCCACTTATTACCTGTGTGACCTAGAGTAAATTATCAACCTTCTCTACAGCCAACCTTCTGTACAGCCCAGGTTGCTCAGCTTTCATCTGTAATACTTTCAACAATAAAGATAAATTTAAAAATAATAGAGTGGTGAAGGCTTGGGGCATGGGGCGGGGGGTGAGCTAGAAGGGGTCAGTGGAGGAATAAGGGGAACATATAATACTTTCAACAATAAAGATTTAAAAGAAAAGAATAAATAAATAAATAAAATGATTAATTAACTCATGTCTATTAAAGTAATTAAATAGGTAATGGGTGTAGCATATGCCGAGCATAGAGTAAGCATTCAATAAATGGTTTTGCATAATTTTCCAAAGAAAAACCATTAGCATAAAATAACATTGCTCAGTCTTTAAGTTTGAGTTTGATATTTATATTTTATAAGTTAATATGAAATTAGAGAAAAACGATTCCTAATTTTATAAAATGACTTATATACTGAGAAATGTTTATTTTATTGACTGTTAAAGCAGCCTTTTGAAAAATCAACCATTTAGACTGTTTAGCAGCTAAAAATGTCCGTTTTGTCAAAGTAAAAGCTTTTTTTATTAAAAGTATAACTGCAATAATTACTATTTCTATTAGATTTTTTGTAATGTTCTCTTCAGACAAACTAAGAATCTCCATTAAGTCAATGATGCTGTACCTTAGACAGTTGCTTTTGCTCACTACTATTATTTCGGTTGTACCTATAGTGTTTCCAAAGCTATCTAATAATTTTCCAGTCACTCTAATAAACTCAAGCACCAACAATCAAGGTTTTTATTTACTTTTGTTCCCTTTTGGATTGGCCTTAGCCAGAACAGAGGAATATAGCGAACAAAGTAATCACATGTATATATACTGTGGAAAAATTATCATCTCTTCACATATTCTTTTATATTCACACATATTCTCATAATCAGTATTTACTGTATTTGATTTGAAGGTTCATTGCTGATAGTCAGGTTGTTGAGTCTAATGTTATTCTTTTTATAAGTTTATAAGAATTTGACTACTTATCTCTTCTCCTATCCTATCTAATAAAAGAGTAATATGCAAATTGGCCATCACTCCAACACACAAGATGGCTGCCCCCATGTGGTCGAAGATGGCTGCCACAAGATGACCGATAGGGGAGGGAAGTTGTGGGCGACCAGGCCAGCAGGAGAGGGCAGTTGGGAGGGACCAAGCCTGAAAGGGAGGGCAGTTGGGGTGACCAGGCCTGCAGGGGAGGGCAGTTGGGAGGGACCAGGCCAGCAGGGGAGAGCAGTTAGGGGTGTAGGGGTTGGCAGAGGAGGGCAGTTAGGGGCAAACCAGACCATCAGGGGAGGGCAGTTGGGGGCAACCAGGCTGGCAAGGGAGGGCAGTTAGGGGTGACAGGGCCAGCAGGGGAGGGAAGTTGGGGGTGACCAGGCCTGCAGGGGAGGGCAGTTATGGGGGACCAGGCCAGCAGGGGAGAGCAGTTAGGGGTGACCAGGTTGGCAGAGGAGGGCAGTTAGGGGCAAACCAGACCATCAGGGGAGGGCAGTTGGGGGCAACCAGGCTGGCAAGGGAGGGCAGTTAGGGGTGACAGGGCCAGCAGGGGAGGGAAGTTGGGGGTGACCAGGCCTGCAGGGGAGGGCAGTTGGGAGGGACCAGGCCCCGGGATCAGGCCTAAATGGGCAGTCGGACATCCCTTGAAGGGTCCCAGATTGGAGAGGGTATAGACTGGGCTGAGGGACACACCCTCCCATGCACGAATTTTGTGCATTGGGCCTCTATTGCTAATTAATAACCAAAAATAAAGATGCAATTTTAAAATGTAATTGTTTAGAAATAACATTAAATTTATATTGCCAAGCAAAAGGTTTTTCTCTAGAATAAATTAAGTAAAAAATATTGGCATAATTTTGGTGCATTGTTTAAAAGTGTCCTGCCCTAACCGGTTTGGCTCAGTGGATAGAGCATCGGCCTGCGGACTGAAAGGTCCCAGGTTCGATTCCGGTCAAGGGCATGTACCTTGGTTGCGGGCACGTCCCCAGTGGGGAGTGTGCAGGAGGCAGCTGATCGGTGTTTC